GAAAATTTAATAATTTTAAATAATTTTCCTACTACCTTTCTAGGTTCTTGGTTAAGAAAACTCTGCAATAAAAAGACAGATTAAAAAGAAAAAGCAGATTAACAGGAGGAAAAAACACAGAAGTTTAACAACAATTATACCTCCTATATACATGGGAAGGACCCAAGAAACTTAGTAACTTTTTGAAATGGCCCAAGCCACCATCATAAATATAATCTCTAGCTAAAAACAACAGATTGGGGGGAGGAGGGGATGTCAGTTGTGTAAGATGACCAGGAAAAGCACAGTAAACAAGGGTAAGATTGTTATATATATTGAAGTCCTGGCCTTTTGTACTGATAAGAATTTCTCAAGATTTAGAGTCATTCTGTTTCCCAGTACAGGAAAGGGGACACTCTTACAAATGAGGATTTCTCTTATAAATGTAAATGTTCCTTGCAAAAGGATTATTTCTACTCAGTTTTCAGAGCTTCACTTGTGGCTGCTGTTTCTTAAAGTTAACCATCTTAAAATAATCAATATGCCAAAGAGGTATATATTGGGATAATGCATTTTGCTCACCTTCATTTATAATGACCTTCCTGATAAATATGAGGTGATAGCTCATTGTGATTTTGATCTGCATCTCCCTCATTATTAGTGATGTTGAACATCTTTTTATATACCTGCTAGCCTTTTGTATGTGATCTTTGGAGAAATTTCTGTTCAAATCCTTTGCTTATGTTTTAATTAAGTTATTTTATTTGATATTTTGCTCGTAAGTTATAAAAGATCCTTGTACTGTTGACCCTTGAGCAATGTAGAAGTTAGGGACTTATCTTTCTCTGATTGGCTTATTTCGCCTAGCAAAATACCTTCTAGGTCCATCCAGGCTGTCACAAAAGGTAAAATTTCCTTTTTTTTTTTTTTTGTGACTAAGTAGTATTCTCTTATGTAACTTTACCATGTTACGGTAAATTTCCAAGCGGCAGGAAGACAGACAACCAGGCACTCGGAAGATTCAGAAAATGCACTTTTTATTACAGGAAGCACCGGTGCTGGGTGAGGTTTGCTAAGGATTTGTTGAGGATTTTAGTGTCTATGTTCATCAGGGATATTGGCCTATAATTTTCTTTCTTTGTTGTCTTTATCTGGTTTTGGAATTAGGACAATACTGGCTTTGTATAATGAACCTGGAAATCTTCCCTCTTGAATTTTTTGGAAAAGTTTGAGAAGGATCCGTTCCAGGGCTTTTGTTTTTTGGGACTTTAAAAAAAATTTTATTTATTGCTTCAATTTCACTATCTTTAATCTATCTATTCAGAATCTCTGATTCTTCATGATTCAGCTTTGGAAGAGTGTATGTTTCTAGGAATTTATCCACTTTGTCCAGATTGTCCAATTTGTTGGCAAATAATTTGCAATATTTTCTTAAAATACTTCGTATTTGTTTGGTGTTAGTTGTTACTTCTCCTCTTTCATTTCTGACTTTATTTTATTTATTTGGGTTCTCTCTCTCTCTCTCTCTCTCTCTCTCTCTCTCTCTCTTTTGATGAGTCTAGTTAAAGGCTTATCAATCTTATTTATCTTTTCAAAGAACCACCTCTTGATTTCATTGATCTTTTGTATTGTTTTTTTAGACTCTTTTTTGTTTATTTTTGTTTTGATATTTATTAATTCCTTTCTTCTATTCACTTTGGGCTTTCTTTGTTTTTCCACCTTATTTCATGTAATCTTCCATAAATTTCCTCCTTAATTCTAAAAGTATAAAAGAAACTACAAACTGACATTCCATGAGCATTCAAGATGTCATCAGTTTGGCTCAAATAAAGTCATTGTTACATCTAGACTTCGTGATCCCCAAGGACCACCAGGGAGCTGAGTCCGATGCAATAAACAAAATGCTAGCATGGGCTCTGTCCCACTCACACTGACAGCATGATGGAAGAGAGGCCGAACTTTGACAGGTCAAGGGGTTTTATAAGGGTGGTGATGTCACTGCTTTGGCTGATCCTGATTGGTTGGGTGAGGGCTAGGGTCCAGTTACAAAATGGAGGATAGCTCCGCCCTGCTCCGCAGTACAAAATGGAGTCAGGAGTTAGCCTCGCCGTGCCCTGCTCTCTCATCATGAAAATTCTATACAGGTTTGGATGTTTTTTATATTGACACATGCATTGACACAACCTCACAGAGTTGTTCAAGGTCAACTGCATATTTTGGAAATCAGTCTCTTGTCAGATATATGGTTTGCAAATATTTTCTCCCATTCTGTTAGATTGTTTTTTCTCTCTTGAAGGTTCTCTTTGCTGTGCAAAAGCTTTAAGTTTCATGTAAGCCAACTTGTCCATTTTTATTTTGCTGCCTGTGCTTTAGTGTCCCATCCAAGAAATCATTGCCAAGACCAGTGTTATAATGCTCCCCCACATTTTCTTCTAGGATTTTTTAAATAGTTTCAGATCTTGCTGAAACCAGTTTGGCTCAATGGATAGAGCGTTGGCTTGGGGACTGAAAGGTCCCAGGTTCGATTCCGGTCAAGGGCATGTACCTTGGTTGCGGGTACATCCCCGGTAGGGGGTGTGCAAGAGGCAGCTGATCGATGACTCACTCTCATCGATGTTTCTAACTCTCTATCTCTCTCCTTCCTCTCTGTACAAAATCAATAAAATATATATATTTTTAAAAATAGTTTCAGATCTTACTTGTAAGTCATTAGTCCTATATGAGTTGAATTTCATGTATGAGGGAGGAACAAACTTTCCTCTACCTTCAAGGTTCTTTTGGGTGGTCTAATAGTCAAATAGATAGGAAACAGATTAGAAAGTGAAAGTAATCAATTTTAATACATATTTATGTAAGGGAACCCAGTATTCAAAAGAGTCGGAGACCTCTCTTGCAGGAGAGGTTTAGAGATAGAAAGGGGACTTGCGATACATAAGATTCTGAGCTGGGGCTGAAGTAATGTACCTTGGGGGCTGCATGATAAGAAGAGCAGATGTTTAGTACATAAAAGTTTGCCTTGTGAAGTAGGTGGACAGAAGAGGTTATATTTGACAATCTCTTATGGGCAAGGTCTCTAATTTGAATTCTTCTAGGCAGTTAAGGGCAGGGACAGAAGTTTCTCCTGAGCCTGGGGCTAAAATTGCCTTTAGCTTAAAACAATTTGCATACACAGAAGAACATTTTGGGGTGATTCATTCTGGACCCCACACATATATAATGTAAGAGGGATCAGTTTCATTGTTTTGCATGTAGATGTCTAGATTTCCAACACCATCTGTTGAAGAGACAATACTTTCCTCATTGTGTAGTCTTGGCACCATGTTAAAGATGATTTGATTCTACATGCATGGGTTTGTTTCTGGTCTCTCTCTTGTTCCATTTATCTATATGTCTATCATTATACCTGTATCATTCTGTTTTGATTACTGCAGCTTTATAATATATTTTGAAATCAGATAGTATAAAGCCTTCAACTTTATTTTTCTTCTTAAGATTGTTCTGGAGCTTTGGAGTCATTTGTGGTTCCATATAAATGTTAAGATTGCTTTTTCTATTTCTGCAAAAAAAAAATAGCATTGGGATTTTGGTGGGGACTGTGTTGATTCTATAGTTTTCTTTGAGTAGCATGGACATTTTAATACTATTAAGTCTTCCAATTCAAAAACACAGTGAAGCGTAGCAGACTATGGAACTCTAGTAAGGATTACTTTGATTGGAAGATAATCAAAGGCAACCAAGAAACAGATAACAGAAATTCTCTGCCCAATTCCCTATTTGCCTACTATTTGCTTAAGAGCAGGATATCAAACTGTAAAGCAGGATATAAATTTTTACAAGTTCTTTGCCTTCCTCTCTCTATCAGGAAGGACAGAAGTTAATCACCACAGACAACTCCAGAAACAACACAAAAAGAATAAACTTACTAACTAGTTCTTATCTCCCATTACCTTCCCACAATTTACTGCCCAGAAACAAAGTTCTTTGTTTTGATGCTTCTTTAAAAATTTATTGTCCCTTTGTTAAGATGTTCGAACCATCCTTTGACTTAGTTATCACTGAGTACTCCTATGTGTATGTGCAATGTATGTGTTAGTAAACTTACCGTATGCCTGTTTTTCTCTTGTTAATCTGTTTTCTTTCAGTCTAATTTTCAGGTCCCCAGACAAAGAACCAAAATGAGTAGAGGAAAAAGATTTCATTTTCCTCCCTCACAAGAGGATATCTTTTTATTATTTGTGTCTTCTTTAATTCTTTCAGGAATGTTTTTGTTGTTTTCAATGTACAATTTTTTTAACCTCAAATAAGTTTATTTCTAAGTATTTTATTCATTCTAATACTATTACAAATGGGGTAACTTTCTTAATTTACTTTTCATATTTCCAGTCTTAGTGTATAGAAATACAACTGGGTTTTTTGTATGTGATTTTATATCTTAACTGTGTTTTGAATTCATTTATCAGTTTTAACAGGTTGGGTTTTGTTTTGTTTTTTTGATCTTTAAGGTTTTCTACATATAATAAATATATCACCTATAAGCAGATATAATTTCACTTCCTTATGATTTGGATCCTTTTATTTCTTTTTGTTGCTTAATTGCTTTAGCTAAGACTACCAGGACTATGTTGAATAGTAGTAGTGAAAGTGGGCATCTTGCCTTGTTATCTATCTTAGAGGAAAAGCTTCTAAGTTTTCACTGTTGAGTATGTTAGCTGTGGGCTTTTCATATGTGGTTTTTCTATTCCTAGTTTGCTGAATATATTGAAGACATTTTGTTGTTTCTTTTTTGCTTATGAAACTAATAGAAATTCAATTTATATGATACATTATTTACAAATTATTTCTTATAAATAATTATTATAATTCATTTATAATTAATATCATTGAAGTTTCAAATTTTTACAAATTCAGAGCAGATCATTTGAAAATTTTAGAAAAATATAAGAACACAAAGAGAAATTTACTCAGGATTTTATTCCCTTACCTTTCCTCTACTTTAACTACTTTATCTTTTTTGCTCCCAGGTAACTTGGCCCAGACAAGAGCCAGGATAACAGCAACTTCAAGATCTTTGCCTCCACATTTCAGTGCTGGGAAAGCCAAGGTGAGTAATAGGTCTGTACTCAAAATAACGTGACCTAAAAGGTGGGAATAATTCTAGGTGGGTAACCTTCATTTCCTTTATCTGGCCAACTACTTGGGCAATCTAAAAAATAGACTAAAGGTATTTATGAATCAAGTATTAGGAAATTTGAAACAACATCATAGAATCCTTTACAATCCTGTGTCAGGGGGAAAACATTTCCTCTACCCTCTTACGTTCAGTAATTGGGGGACTCTGAAGTAACTCAAACTGATAGATTAGCAAGAGAAAAAGCAGATTTTAATCATGTTCATACAGGAGTTCACCAAAAACTCAAAGGGGCAATTAGATTTGGGGGCTTATATATCATTGTAATAGATGAGGAGAAGGACATTTTTGGAAGAAAAATCAACTTCTGGGAATCAATCTAATTACAAAATGGGTAAAGGACCTGACTAGACACTTCTCCAATGAGAACATATAGATGGCAAATATAATAGACATATGAAAAGGTGCTCAACATCATTAATCATCGAAGAAATGCAAATTAAAGCCACAATGAGATATCATCTCCCACCTGTCAGAATGGCTATCATTAATAAATCAACAAACAAGTGTTGTCCAGAATGTGAAAAAAAGGGAACACTTGTGCACTGTTGGTGAGAATACAGATTGGCGCATCCATTATGGAAAGCAGTATGGAGTTACTTTAAAAAATTAAAAATGGAACTCTCTTAGGACCCAGTGATTTCCACTTCTGGGAATTTATTTGAAGAAACCCAAAACACTAATTCAAAAGCATATATACAACCCTATGTTCATTGCAGTGTTATTTACAATAGCCAAGATTTGGAAGCAACCCTGTGCCCATCATTAGATGAGTGGATAAAGAATTTATGGTACATTTATACAATGGAATACTGTTCAGCTGTAAAAAAAATAAATAAATAAATTAAAAAAAAAATTTACCCTTAGCAACAGCATGAATGGACCTAAAGATCATTATGCTAAGTGAAATAAGCCAGTCAGAGAAAGACAAGTATCATGTGTGGAATTTAATGTACAAAATGATCTAGAAACAAATTAGAGATAAACTCATAGATAGAGAGCTGGCTGACAACAGTGTGGTGATTGTTAAGGGTTGGGGAGAAGGAGGAGGGTGTGGGAGTAAATGGTGATGGATGGAGACTTGACTTGAGATGGTGAAATACAATATACTGTACAGATGATGTGTTGTAGAATTATGCACCTAAAACTCATATAATTTTGTTAACCAGTGCCACCCAATAAATTCAATTTAATAAGCAATACAGCCACTCATGTTACTTTTGAATATTATCCCAAAATTGATATATAAATCTGTACTTACTTCTGAGAATAAAACTCACCTGCATTTAATAAAGAATCAGATCATTTTTATTAACAATAATTGTAACACTCACCTTGCTATTACAGTTTAGTCTAATACTCTACTTTTCAATATCATAAATTCACTTCAAGATATTAGGACTAGTTATCATGGGGTATTTTGGTGCCTAGAAGAGATTTACATAGGATTTTTGGTGATCCTGAGAGGCTCTTGATATTACATGTAAAATTTTGTTTGTGTTAAATAGAGTTGATTCTTGTTATTGACATAAGTCAGGTTTTATAGAATTGCTCTGAACACTGAATCAGTTAATACTGAAGCATTGCTCCTAAGGGAAATATACAGTTAGGTTCCTGCAAGCCTCCGGTCACATTTTTGTCAATTGATTAATATATAATTTTGTTTTATTTCTGTTTCTATTCAAAGACAACTTATTTAATACATATTTCTTACAAAGAATGATTTACATACATTACTTCTTTACATAAAATAGTATTTCAATTACAATATTTATGTCATTGAACTCAAGGCCAGTAGCACTACAGCTCATATTTATCTAACATACATATATTTCCATTTGTCTTTCATTCAGTTGATGTGTCACCCATTTTCCTTTCTTTAAAACCTTTCCTATTGGAAATTGTTTGCTGAGCAACGTTTAATCTTTCTGCAATTTGTTTTTGAGTTTGACATGCATCCTCATCCAATAATGCTTGTAATTGTTGGTCTTCAAACTTTTTTGGTTGACTTGGACGTTCTTTGTCTTTCACATTGAAATCATTACTTTTAAAGCATTTAAACCAGCATTCACAAGTATCTTGAGATGGAGCATGTTCACCATAAGCTTTCTGAAGTATACGATAACTTTTTCTTCAAAATAAACTAATGGCATGAAATTTGACATTTTTAAATGTAAAAATATCTATGATGTTAATACCTTCAGAAAATTTGACATTTTAAGCTTGCTGTCAATACAACAAAATAGCATACATATCAAATCGCATATATATCAACATATGTGTAACTCCAGCTATTGAAAAAAATCTGCATTATTAACTGGTACACCTGGTATAGACGGAGTGGCAGACTTTCCTCAAGAGAGGAGGAAGAAAGACTCTAACCATCTCTAGAAGTTGAGCTTATATCTGTTTGTACTTTCTATGGAAAATGGCTGGTATGGGGAAATTGAGAGTGGAAAGAGGTTGGGATTAACCTTTTACAAGGTATATTTTGTGGCCTGTGTTTTGCTTTAATGGTCTGAATAAATAGAAAGGTGTGGTGAGTAGCTATTAATCAATCTTTGCAGGGATTTTCTTTTTGTCTGGTCTGCCCAGTTCCATGTCAGGCAGCAGGTAGCAGGCCCCTGACTTAACTTCATTTGACTTCAGTTAATTTATATAGTGCTCATGCCCCTTCCCTATATTAGCTTCATTTCATGTTTAGAAGAACCTTGTGATTATGCAAATATGAAAGAGACCTTGACCAACGAAGACCTTTCCAAATTCTTAAATTAAAAGATATCCTAATAGCATATTATTTGTTCTTTAAAATATAGTACTAAATATAGGTGATGAACGAATACAGACAATATTAGCATTTCCAGGTTGTATGTAACATAGAATAGATTTTTACTTACTTCCCAGAGTTACTCTGTATGTAAATATAAGGACAGAACTTAGTCATGCTGGGTGGTTAGACAGGGGAGCCCAGTAAATCTATACCTTTGGAAGTAAGAACTGTTGCTTCCGTCTATATTATTCCAATTTTCTGCAGGGGATAGTACTGATATTGAAAACAATATGTATTATACCTTTTAAATTATGTTTCTGCAGAATTAATATATATCAAGAATTTTCTGATCACTAAGCTGTTAAATTCTCAAATGCCAAGGTCCATTGTGCATTTTGAGGGGGTGGTAACAGGTAAATTTTACTAATAAAAGAAATGTGTATGAGCTTTTTAGCTGCTCTTTCTGGGACTGTCCCTGGCTGGCTGATTTGAATAAAAAGGGAGGGAAATGATGGAGAAAAAGCAAGTCTTTGGAACAAGATGTGGTTCTTCAGGGAGAACCTCTGACTCCAAGGAAGTGGTGGGGACATTGCTAAAAGTGTGCCCCAAATCCCACTACTTCTGAGCTCCGTCATCCATCCCAATGAAGGTGAGGTGGGGGAAGACACCTTTGGGCAGATGACTTTGGAGAAAGCACAGTGCCTTTGCAATGGGGTGGGTGTGTTGCATTTGTTTTCCCTTTTTTACATCAGCGCAGCTTTTGTTTCCTCCTTTCTCATTAAACAAAACAATTACAAGTGAAACCCAAGCAGGTATACCATTGCTTCAGCTGTGTACAAATAAACGGATGGTTTGGGGAATGCAGCCTAGCAAAAGAAAGCCACACTGCCCCCAACATCATTTCACTTAGAGAGAGTCCCACGTTGCTGCTCGCTCACTACATAGGTTGAGTTTTCTAGCTTTTAAAAACTTGGCTCCACATTGATTTCCTTTCTTAAATAAATCTGTGTGTCTTTATCCAATTAAAGCTCTTCCTCCATTGTGTGCACAGTCTCCTAAACACCTCTGGAGGTAAGCCTCGTTATTCTCCCTGTCTCTGGCACCCTGTTCCTTTAGCACCCACTTTTCACGTTTGTTGAACAAGGCTACAGGGAAGTGGCTGCCAGGACCACAGTCTGCCGAGCGGAACATCCGTGCTGACAGTAGCATCTTCCTTTTGAACGTTCCTGCTTCTCTTGCCACCTGTTCAGAGCAGATGGGGAGCCGCACGGTGGAGGCCAGCGCTGACATGCCACTCGGGCTCTCTGCAAACCGAAGAGCTTCGTGTGTGCAGGAGCAGAGCGCTTGCTGTTGAGCTATGACAACGAGACACAGGCTGCTTGCCTTTGATTCCTACAATTGTTTTTACTCATGAGTTCCTTCCAGTCAGCCCAGGCAGTTGGGACAAGTGATTGGGAACAGATGTATCCCAAGCTCTGGTCCACAGTGAGCACGTAGGAACTGTGGGAGGCAGGAGGGGGTGGCAGCATCAAGGTCTGACCGCAGGAAGGCCACTGGGCTTTGGGTCCATGTCTTTATAATCACCTAGCTTCATGAGCCTATGCCAGTGTTCCTGTACAAAATAGTTTGTTCTCATGTGACAGTATTGGAGAACTTAGCAGGGGCCCAATGGGACATGGAGAAGTATAGACATACCACTGATTTGGGTTATGCTTTAGTACGTTGCAGAGTGATTGTCAAGCGAGTAGAACCATGCAAATTCTGTTTTTCTTTGATATGTCTTCAAAAATTCTCCCCAAAGTGTGTACTATTGTGTTGTAAACATCAAGGCCTCTTAGATATTTGACCAAACAGCCTTTCAGATCTTGAAAAAGCCAGACAATAAATTATCTGTATCCTCAAACCATGTCTCTCTGCTTATTGTGTTCTAGGTGGATACTCTGGAGGTAATACGGCATCCGGAAGAAACCACCAACATGAAGAGACAGACCGTGGCTTCTTACTTCCGGGTATGAACTCTTCTTTTCATTTTTGTTATTTCTCACCTGAGAGTATTTTTTCCATTGATTTTTAAAAGGATGTAGAAGGGAGGAGGGAGAGAGATAGAGAGAAACATCAATATAAGAGAAACACATCAATTGGTTCCCTCCCACAGGCCTTACCAGAGCCAAGATGGAACCTGCAACCCAGGTAGATGCCCTTGACCAGAATTGAACTGTGACCCTTCATTGTATGGGCCAGTGCTCTAACCACTGAGCACACCAGCCAGGGCAGGAGGTCTTCTTGACCTGTATTCTGTCTACTAACAAAGAGGACTTGCCAATCCTTCCCTCAGAGACCCAGATCTGATAGAATCACTGAAAGAAGCCAAGTAAGAAAGGTGGGGGTGTGGAGAGAAAATAGCATAGCCAGAAACCTCTGCCTCTGAGTGCAGTGTTCCCTGATCACAGAACGATCAGACAAAACCCTAAGTGTCTACAGAGAGCTCTCTCAGCCACTGGCTCACAGCCCTGGGCGTTGGAAGTGCTGATTCTGTTAGCATGGGAGCTGCTGCTTGGCCTTAAAGCTACTGCAGTCAGCCGCTTTCCCAGCATATTTACTGAAAAGCGAAGTAGTTAATAACATTTCAGGAGGTGGTTTATCAGGTTTAGATCCTGAGAAAATCTATCTTAGCTTTGACTTTATTTTCCTAAATTGAATTGTCCTATGGCAAGACCTGTTTGTGTGAACCCAATTATTTCCCATCTCTCCTGACCAATTCTTGGTATTTCAATACTTAATTGACTCCTTCGAGTGAAAATATTGTCTATCGAAGGACTCTATTAAATGTTTATTATATAGGAAAGATAAGACATGGATACTCTTGTACCAGATTTGCACAGAAAGGCTTATCTTTAAATTACAAGTTGGGTTGGAAGCCCTTAGAGATGGTGTCCCACTTGGAGCTCATGTCCAGCTAGCTTCATGGTGGAGATGCTGTAGGCCCAAGACAGAACTACTAATCTCAGGAACAAATGATAATGTTGTGGGGTGGGGATGGGAAGTCAGGTGGGGGCTGGGTCGGGGACTGGAGTTGCCAGGCAGGCTGAAGGACAGGACCCTGGAGCCAGCACCATGGATAGCCAGCTTTATAGAAAGCTATCAGGTTCAAGAGGGATCTAAAGCCAATAGTCTAACCTAGCCAACTAAGCTTCAGAGGCAGCCTAGAAGTAGGCTCAGCGTATGAATTACAGGGGCCTTTTGAGTCCAGCACTTTTTCCATGTAGTGATCCCTGCGACAGTTTCTCTGGCAGGAAGGCATTCAGCCCCTATTTCATCATTCATGCTTGTGCATTTCTAATTGCCACTTCTTTCTTTTTCTTTAATTTAAATTCTTTATTGTTTAAAGTATTACATATGTCTAGCCGAAACCGGTTTGGCTCAGTGGATAGAGTGTCAGCCTGCGGACTGAAAGGTCCTGGGTTCAATTCCGGTTAAAGGCATGTACTTTGGTTGCGGGCACATCCTCGGTAGGGGGTGTGCAAGAAGCAGCTGGTCGATGTTTCTCTCTCATCAGCATTTCTAATTCTCTATCCCTCTCAATTCCTCTTTATGTAAAATCAATAAAATATATTTAAAAAATATATAAAAATAAAGTATTACATATATCTCCTTTTTGCCACTTATTTCTTATCTTGTCCCCTTTAGCAGCTATGTCCTCTTTGTGTCGTGTGTGTGTGTGTGTGTGTGTGTGTGTGTGTTTTGTGTGTGTATGATGGGACTTGGAGGCTCTGAGCAACTCAGTAAAGTCATTCCCAAGATCCTAAAAGTCCTTCTATCAGCAGAGAAGTCTCTAGCTTATAGTTTTTCAGAAATATACCCTGACAATTCATTTGGTATCCTCAAAATACTCCCCAAATGATAAATTCAGGAAATAAGGTGTATTGGCAAGCTAGGTAATTCCATTTTGGACCAGTAAGAGGTGTGATTTTGAAGTAATGGGACTGATTCCTGGTGGCTTGTAATTGCTCCTGCAGGCATGTCCAAAAGAGGGGCTGCAAAGGTGGATGCCCCTAAGGAACGCCTGAGACTCCCTTGCACAACACCCTCTGCTTTCTCATGTGCTTTCTCTCTGCACCAGCTACTCGGCGTATGTTAGTTGATCTTCATTATAATCTTTTTTCCCCTCCAGTTTTCTGTTTACTTTGCCTTCTTTTTCTGGTTTCCTTTATCAGTGGTATCAATAGGATTTGCTTATTGGTGGTTCCCAAGTAGAATAATCCCTACCCTACAAGCTGGACATTTTAAATTTCAGATATAGCTTCTGGAGTGTTACCTTGGAATACCAGACAGAAGCTAGTTCTGGCGATGGCGTTATAGGGTGACCTAAGTATGTTCTTAGGCAGCTAAGCCTCTGCCACATGGGGACGTTGCTTGGCACTAGTAATGTTTAAAGAATACTGTGCAGCTATAACAAAGAACGATCTCATACCCTTTGAGACAGCATGGAGGGACCTGGAGAGAATTATGCTAGTGAAATAAACCAGCCAGCCCTAGCCAGTTTGGCTCAGTGGATAGAGCGTCAGCTTGCAGACTCAAGGGTCCCAGGTTCAATTCCCGTCAAGGGCGTGTACCTTGGTTGCGGGCACATCCCCAGTAAGGGGTGTGCAGGAGGCAGCTGATTGATGTCTCTCTCTCATCGATGTTTCTAGCTCTCTATCCCTCTCCCTTCCTCTCTGTAAAAAAATCAATAAAAATATATTTTAAAAAAAAGAAAGAAAAAAGTCAGCCAGAGAAAGACAAGTGTCACATGATCTCACTTATATGTGGAATCTAATGAACAAAATAAAGTGACGAACAAAATAAAGTGACGAACAAAATAGTTCCAGAGACATTGAAATGTGCAATAGACTGACATATTTCAGGGGAGGGGGGGCGTCAAAGTGGGGAGAGATTAATCAAAGAACTTATATGCATATATGCATAACCCGTGGATATAGATAGTAGTGTGGTGAAGGCCTGGGGAGGGGGCAGAAGGTGGGTGGAGAGGGTTAGTGGGGGGAGGCGGCAGGGAGGGTGATAAAAGGAGACATCTCTAATGCTTTCAACAATAAAGATAAATTTTAAAAAATTTAAAGGAATCTGCAAGCAGCTGTATGTACTCGTCAGAACTTATGTCATCACCTCTTATTATTGGTTTCTTGTTCAGCCTCAAAAAAAAAGTCCATGAGTCATTTATAAACCAATAAACTGCTCTAGAGGCCCTGGCGTTCTCCATTACATTGGGGTAACCTCACTCCATGTGCTTTTCCTGTCAGTACTCTCTGATGGACCTGCTCTCCAAGATGGTGGTGGGACAGCCCCACTTCGTGCGCTGCATCAAGCCCAACGATGACCGAAAGGCCCTGAAGTTCTCTCAAGAGAGAGTGCTGGTCCAGCTCCGCTCCACGGGGATCCTGGAGACAGTCCGCATCCGCCAGCAGGGCTATTCCCACCGCATCCCCTTCGAAGAGTTTGTGAAAAGGTCAGGCTGGCATCTTGGGAAACACATTAAATACAGCTCTGCCGTGGGCATCCCTGTCCCCTGAGATCACTCCATCTGCCCACTCGCCTCCAAACGTGTAATTGACTGGTTATCAGTTAGCCTTCGCTTGCTTAAATGTTGCATTTTTACTGTGCTCCAACTAAATTGCAGTGATTTAGAGGACAGATTAAATTCCCTTCTGATCACATTGAGAATAGAAAAATGTCCATAGATATTTAGATGTTTTATATCCTTAGTATGGCAGGATGAAAGTATCTCTCCATAAATGGGTCAGGATTCTGGCAGATGCAAGTGCACCCAGGCACCCACTCCTCTCCCAGGCTGAAATGATGGCATGGCGTGATATGATGGCTAACATTTACCCAGCACCTAACATATTCTAAATGTATAATATCATTTGATCCATGGGACAGCCCAGTAATCTAGACTCTGTTGTTGTAGACATAAGAAATGTCCAAACCTATAGATGTTGGTGGTTTACTTGGGAAGCTCTGGAGAAGGACAGTTTTGCAGTTCTTCTCATACACTGGAATTAAAAAAGATGACTAGTACATGAAGGTACAGGAAAGCAAGGCCAGGAAATCGGTATGATTGGATTACAGAACAGTTGACAAGATTATGTGCTCTCTTGAGAGTGGTTATGCCTCAGAGGGGTCTGCAAAAGAGGAAACATTTCTGACATTTCAAAGGTGTGTTAACCTAAGAACAATGGATAGGGCTTGCTTAAGGCAAAAAGAAAACATACACACACACCAAAAAAAACCCACAAAAAACAATAACAACAACAACAACAACAACAACAAAAAAACACCCCACCTTTTTATAGGCCTGGGATATGACTGCCTACTCCTGACCTGTCCAGTTAGAAATTTATGATCAGATCATCTTTGAGATTACTTTTGGTCATTGGTCTTGTCAGATTTATTATAGAACCCCCTTTTCATTCACTTTATTATCTCCATTTTATAGATGAGAAAACAGTCACAGAAAGAAATCAGTGACTTTCGCCAGGTCCCAGGCTAGTACATGGTAGAGCCAGAATATGAACCCAGGCTGTCTAACTTCAGCACCCACACTTTAATCTCCTCAGCCCAGTGTTTGCTAAAACAGATTTCTGTGGAGCTTTTTAAATCCAGAAATTGCTTTTATCTTGGAATGAATGAATTGCTCTTCTTTTCTGCACCACTGCTGTAGGGATTCCTTATGGATGCATATGATTACAGTAGAATCTTTGCAAAACCTTCTGTGAAGAAATAAAGGACAACGATAACAAAAGAACTACCTCTGAAAAGCACTCTGTATGAGGCTATCCAGAGAGGAAAATTAAAATCTGTTGTAAAATCTGTCGCACCCCATCAGTCATCTTTACTTTCTTTTTACCTCCTTTCTGGAACTTATGCCCAAGGTAATTTTTCCAAAAGTTGCTCAAAGAATGAGGCCTAAAATGGTCTTTGCTTCATCAAATCTTCCAAACACCACTACATACCATGGAGAAGACATGGCAAAAAAAGTTACTTGCAATGAAAGCTTTTGAATTAAAAATAAGAATGCAGTGGCTTTTTTAAAAGAAGTGTCTTTGAGCCTTTTTTTTTCCCCTCTTAAATTTAGAGGTGGAACAAGAAAAAAAAGATTATTTTAGCACATGAATGTTGCCAGTCAAGTATGTTTAGCCACTAAGTGTTGAATACATAAAAATTTTTAAGAATACAGGTCAAATGCTATACAAATCGGCACGTCTTTGTTCATAATCAGAAAGCCAGTAGGCAAGTATGAACAAGAGTTTCAAAAAGTCAGTAAATCTGAGGGTATCAAAGATTTCTGAGCCAGCAAGTTAATTGGTATTTTGATCCTTTTGAGCAATTTAACAACAAAATGGGTGAGTTAGCAGTTTTCTCCCTTGATGTTATTCAACAAATAGGTTCACCTCTTATCTTCCTGTTCAGGAGTGCTGTTTTGTAAACTCTTAGCAGGAAATATGCAGACAAAACAAAGGCAGTGAATACAGCCATTCAAGGTAAATAAAAGATGAAGGCTTGTTTAATTTTACTTTTTATCTTTTTTATTTTTTTACTTCCTGGCCTTCGGGACTGAAATCCTAATGTGCACATCTAAAAGGCAGTGTTTGGGGGTCCTGTTGTTGGGTTTCAGAATGAGGAAGGACTTCCCCATGTCACCCAACTCTGCAGATACTTCCTTCCCCCTTCATCCTTGAGTTTTCTGCAAAGTGACTTGGAAGTCCCCTCTGTACAGCATCCAGCATGGCCAGTGGTGAACCTGAGGGGTGGTGGTGAAGGATTAAAGAAAACAGACAAGAAAATATAGCTGGGGCTAGGTGGGACACTTTACTCAGAAGGAGAGACAGTGCCACAGCCTACAAGCCGAGTCTTTATTTTATAGCCAGATCCCAGGAGGCAAAGTAAGGGCTTGGTCAAGATGTTTACAATGTTCTCACGGGTTTCCAAGCTACTCAATTATATCACTGTAGTTTAAGAATTAGTAAGTGCAGAAGTGTCTGCCTGAGCAGAAGCAGACAAGATACTGAGGACACTTTCATTCCATTACCATGGAAAGGTGTCCTTGCAGTTTTAAATGTGCAGCAAATTCTTTCAGCTCTTGCAAAGTGAATTAAATATCATTAGTTATCACTCTGAAAACTTCAGCTATGAGGACAGGGTTCCTGGCAATCCCTGACAGAGCCCCAAGGTTAGTACTGGCCCACAGAACAGGAGTTGAGAGAAAAATCAGTGTCACGGAAGAATCCAAATATCTGTGACAAGAAAGGCTGAAATCCAAATTTTAATTTCCAAAGAAAACAAGATTCTACTTATTTCTCTGGGGAGCCAGCAGTTAATAATGAAATATAAAAAAATCCAGGAGCTACAGTGGCCATGCCATGCCTTGCCTCTCACAGGACATTCTTGAATTTATTTTCAGCCATAGCAACACAGGTGAGAGCCTGCCATAAAATAGATTACAACGTGCCATTCAGATTAGCGAGTATATCTGCAGCAAAGTGAACAGGGTCCTTAGTTACCTGCAAATCTATTTACGCAGCAGTGAGGGACACATTAAGAGATAATACTTAGGAAGGATAATGGACAGCCTCAACACTACAAGTAAGACATATTGCATGCGATGTGTACAGTCTCTGCATTTACCTTCCAGGGGCAGCAGTTGAGAAGTGGCATTCTCTGGGAAGGATCTCTAACAACAGCAGTCCTTGTATACTGTCATTTCCACCCTTTTTTGTTAATTTAATTGAGAGAGTGAGTTGCTTACCCTTCCCTGTGTGTGTGTGTGTGTGTGTGTGTGTGTGTGTGTGTTGATGATTTTTATGTGAGACCTTAGATGACTTTTTTAAAAAAATACATTTTATTGATTTTTTTCAGAGAGGAAGAGAGAGGGATAGAGAGTTAGAAACATCAATGAGAGAGAATCATTGATCAGCTGCCTCTTGCACACCCCCCACTGGGGATGTGCCCACAACCAAGGTACATGCCCTTGACAAGAATTGAACCTGGGACCTTTCAATCCGCAGGCCGACGCTCTACCACTGAGCCAAACCGGTTTCGTCTTAGATGACTTCTTTACTCTCTTAATTCTTACATTGCCATTGTTATAGTCTTGGTTAGTACAATAAACAAAAAATACTATAAGAATGCCTTTTATAATACCATTTAAAGACTCTAAGCACTGACCTAGTCCAACTTTCCCATTTCACAGATGAGGAGACTGAGGCCAGAGGGATGAAATAGCTCCCTTCAGGTGCATGTTTAGCAGGTGGCAGTATCTGGTCTTTGCAGGTTGCGATAGCCTGAAGAGAATTTCTGTAACCACTTCCCTTCCTCTTTAGGGGGCAAGATGGCTTCAAGGTGGCCTTGCCTAAACTGAGGATCTTCCTAACTTGCCTATAGCTACAGATGTTTCAAAATCCCAAACCTCATTCTTTCAGGGTTCTGCCTTTTTCATGGAGCCCACATTGCTGACAGATGTCTTTTACCTATTAAATACCAGAAAAATCATTTCTGTAGTTGACAGCTATGCAAATTCAGCCTGAAATTTGAAGTGGTGATTCACAAAGTAATTTCAAGAGGTAATATTAGTCACTAAAAATCCTGAGTGCTGGTAGTAATAACAAGCCCAGGCTGTCTTTCCTGATTCCCTTAATGTCTGCATTGTGGGCACCCTCAAGATCTAATTCAATTATAGGGAAGAACCCATGTAGAAATAGAAACACAGGGAGCAATGGCCACATTATGGAAACAGTGCAAGAAGAAATAACAGTGGAAAACAGGGAGAAAGACATTATGAAGGTGTTTGATAGTATCAATGCAGTTGGATTGGCCACCAGCTTATTCTATAAAAATCAATGGCTGAAAAAAAAACTCCATCCCTGCTGGGACAATCCTTAAAACAATTGTCAGTGGGACTAACTTATGTTATATAATGATAGCAATGAGACAGAGAAAAGAAAAAGTGAAGAAAAAGGAGAAAAAGTAGGGAGAATGCAAGGATACTTCTGGTACAGAGATAGCAAATGAGTGCCACTTAACTCTCCAACCCCAGCAGATCTGGTCCTCAAAGATGCACATTATCGCTGAGACCGGTTTGGCTCAATGGATAGAGCGTTGGCTTGGGGACTGACGGGTCCCAGGTTCGATTCCGGTCAAGGGCATGTACCTTGGTTGCGGGCATATCCCCAGTAGGGGATGTGCAAGAGGCAGCTGATCGATGACTCTCTCTCATCGATATTTCTAACTCTCTATCTCTCTCCCTTCCTCTCTCTACAAAATCAATAAAATATATTTAAAAAAAAAAAAAAGATGCACATTATCTTCAGAGTCCAGATGTGGTTGTAAATTCCTCCCAACTCAGGACTCTAAAGAGCCACTGCCTAGTCCATCAGCTGACCTATACTGGCCATTTCTATTATAGTAGGCTCTATTATCTTTATAGTAAACTAGAGGCCTGGTGTATGA